GAAAGATTTATGAACGAAGCGAGGAAATAAGAGAGTGAATTAAAAGATTAAAGCCAGAAACATACATACACAAATGAGGTGCAATTTTACGTTCAATAGGTAATAGAAGCTTCTATAATAAGCAAGCTTTTATGTCCTTTGGGGCTAACCCAAGCCAAACAAGTTGGGGATTCGTTGCATTGGGCTTCACTGCAGAGAATGTGAGGGAGATTCCCACACCTGAGCCATTCTTTTTAGGTGACAAATCTGAGCAACTGTCCCAGATTGAGGGGTCATTAGAGGAGGTTTTGGAACAAACTGGTAAATTAAACAGTAATAAGCCACCAGGACCAGATGGTATTCCCCCAAGAGTTCTGAAGGAACTCAAATGTGAAATTGCAGAACTACTAACTGTGATATGTAACCTATCATTTAAATCAGCTTCTGTACCAGATGACTGGAGGATAGCTAATGTGACACAAATTTTTAAAAAAGGCTCCAGAGGCGCTCTTGGTAATTATAGGCCAGTAAGCCTAATTTCAGTACCAGGCAAACTGGTTGAAACTACAGTAAAGAACAGAATTATCAGACACATAGATGAACACAATATGGTTGGGGAAGAGTCAACACGGCTTTTGTAAAGGGAAATCATGCCTCACCAATCTATTAGAATTTACTGAGGGGGGCTACAAGCACGAGGACAAGGGTGATCCTGTTGATATAGTGTACTTTTAGACTTTCAGAAAGCCTTTGACAAGGTCCCTCACCAAAGCTCTTAAGCAAAGTAAGCAGTCATGGGAGAAGAAGGAAGGTCCTCTCACAGATCAGTAACTGGTTAAAATACAGGAAACAAAATATAGGAATAAATGGTCAGTTTTCAGAATGGAGAGAGGTAAATAGTGGTGTCCCCCAGGGCTCTGTACTGGGACCAGTGCTGTTCAACATATTCATAAGTGATCTAGAAAAAGGGGTCAACAGTGAGGTGGCAAAATTTTCTGATGATACAAAATTACTCAAGATGGTTAAGTCCAAAGCAGACCGTGAAGAGTTACAGAGGGATCTCGCAAAACTAGGTGACTGGGCAACAAAATGGTAGCTGAAATTCAATGTTGATAAATGCAAAGTAGTGCATATTGGAAAACATAATCCCAACTCTACATACAAAATGAGGGGTTCTAAATTAGCTGTTACCACTCAAGAAAGAGATATTTGAGTCATCATGGATAGTTCTCTGAAAACATCTGCTCAAAGTGCAATGGTGGTCAAAAAAGCTAACACAATGTTAGGAACCATTAGGAAAGGGTTAGATAATAAAACAGAAAATATCATAATGCCACAATATAAATCCATGGTATACTTCCACCTTGAATACTGCATGCAGTTCTGGTCACCCCATTTCAAAAAAGCTATATTAGAAATGGAAAAGGCACAGAGAAGGGCAACCAAAATGATTAAAGGTCTGGAACATAAGAACATAGAACATAAGAAAGGCCGTACCGGGTCAGACCAAAGGTCCATCTAGCCCAGTATCCTG